TCTATCTATCTTCCTTCCTTCCTTCCTTCCTTCCTTCCTTCCTTCCTTAGACTGTCTGTCTGTCTGTGTGCCAGCCTGTCTCTCTGCCTGCCTGTCTATCAGCCCGCCTATCTGTCTATCTGTCTGTCCAAAATCATGCAGTCTACACAGAGCTTCTCCAGCATACCTGCCTTCCTCTCATAATGTATGCGCTCTGACGTCACAGCAGAGTGTGACATGGTGGCACTGGCCACTTGCTTCTAGTCAGAGGCCCCTGAATTTCAGCCTTTGCTTTGGCCGAGGTTTGACACAGGATGTTAATAATTCCTATCGATTCTTGCAAGGTTCCTTTGTGAAGGATCTCAGTGAATCAGTTCTGACATTATGATGATGGGGCCATTTGTGTCAATCATCTCCTTCCTTTTCTCCTTCCTTGTCCACAAAGCAGAATTAGATATAAACTGTACTGCCACAGAGAAAGGCTCCCTTGGATTGTGAGGCTGTATATCAAATAGCAACACCAAGAGGATGAGCCAACTGCAACATAAATACGAGTTTGGTTGCTGTTAAGTTTTGTTCTTATAGATAAAAGGAGATATGGGTTCTCCTGTTTGGTTTAAATATTCATTGTGGGACCGCCTCCACCACCCAGTGATACCTAGAGGTGTAAGTTTGACACTCATAATTCACAGAAAAAGTACATGCAACCCACCTAGGGTGGTGTGTAGCTAAGTGTGTTAAGGATCTGTGCCTGTTCAGTGACAGGGGGGGACTCGAATCCTCCGACCAACATAATAATTAAGTTATTACTGGGCCAGTAAGCAAGGTCTTTAACACCAGCAGCTCCAGGGATGCTGGCTGGCCTGCAGTCTGACCGCACGCTTTCCTTTTACATTGTTTTGGATAGAAGTGTCGGTTAAATAAGTGGCACAGTCTGGGCATGTAAACTCAAGGCCTTCAGCTGCAACTGTTCTGGGGATGTCGGATAAGCCTGACCTCTGAACACAAGCTTTCCTCACTTATTTGTTGTTCTGGATAAAATTGTCTCATAATCAGTAAATGCAAAGTTCCCTGCATTATTACTCAGCAGAGGTTTTCCCAGCTGTACCCGGCTGCCGTTCCCTTCAGGTCCCATTGCTGCAAAGTTGTTACTGTTAACTAATATTTTGAGTGATAAATGTTGGCAAAGAATTCTGTTTTCTCTCTTCATGATGACCAACACAGCCACAGGACATTAACAGCCATCTTCACACTATAAAGAAGTGGTGTCTCCTTGTTAATGTCTGCCTCTGGTAGTAATCTGTTAAACTGGCCTGGTCAAGTGAGCAAGACATACATCAGTGGTGCTTTGGGGGCTTTTACAGCTATGTTGAGGGTCGCTCGTGGCTTGTTAAAGATCGCTGTTGCCATGCTCAGGAAGAACTGCAGCTTGCCCACAGGGATTTCTTTGAAGTCAGTTTGTCTGTTTTTTATTTCAATATGTCCATCATAGAATATGAAAGCAGTAAGGGCACACTTTTCAATTGTGTTTAGCCTTTGCATTAAGGTACATTCATTATATTGCTTTATATCCCCCTGAACTGTTTGCCTGTTGTCCACCTCATGTTTTTTTTTTAAACCTTTGTTCCCTCTCTTTGCAGACCAATGATGCCTTAGGCCCTACATGGAATTGGCTTTATTTTATCCCTCTAATAATAATTGGATCCTTTTTTGTGCTGAACCTGGTGTTGGGAGTTCTCTCAGGGTGAGTTCATTGCACTTCAGACTGCTGCAGGTTTCCTTGAGATACCAAGTAGCCTGGGAGTCACGTTAATCGTTTGGCCACAGAAGGCAGACGAGAGGGCTGAATATCACCGACGGCGATAACCCTCCCACGTGGGTCTTGCAGGGAGTTTGCCAAAGAGAGGGAGCGGGTGGAGAACCGGAGGGCCTTCATGAAGCTTAGGAGACAGCAGCAGATCGAGAGGGAGCTGAATGGGTACCGAGCGTGGATCGACCGGGCAGGTGAGGCCAAGCAAATGGGGGCAGACTGTAATGGGGATATTAGCATAGTTTTTTTCCTTGATTTCATTCCATCGTTTTTACTAATCAGAAATATTTGTATTGCAGTGTATGGCTGTAACATTAACGATCCCCCGCTATATCGCGGTTCAGCTATCGCACCCCCGCTATATCGCGGATTTTTCCCCGACACATACCAGTTCTCTGTGATGTGTGTATATATATACATATACGTTACATATTATTATTATTATTGTTATTATTATTATTGTTATGTTACTCATATCCTTAGCCCGACATCCACATATCATATGTGTTTACAAAGTGTGTTTAATAAGTTTACATGTGTTTACAGCATGTGAGAGGGGTATTTTATGGCTTAAACTATAAAAAAATGTTATTTGCTATTTCTATATTGCAGATTTTCACCTATCGCTGATGGGTCTGGAACGTAACTTCTGCGATAAGCAGGGCATCACTGTATATGAATTTATCTATTAACTTCACAGTCATTTATATGAAATTAAATAGGGAAGTGTTGGAATTATATACATCAGAGGAACAGACAGCTCTCCAAAAATGTACCTGCCTGAATCAATTCTCAAACTGTAGCTCATTAATAATTAATTTGGCAGTTATTATTATTGGTTTGGTTATCTCAACACCATTTAAATTCATATTGTATAGCTGATAAATATCACTTATAACAAGGGCAAGGTTCAGTCAGCAAGAACTTCTCATTTCTCATGATTTAGCTACTAGGATTAAACAGCATCATTATCGTTAGCTGTTGCTTTGTAATTATGCATTTCAGAGGAGGTGATGCTGGCAGAAGAGAATAAAAACTCTGGAACATCAGCTCTGGACGGTGAGACACTTTGCGCATAAATTCTAAAACTTGCACATGGATAATGTGGTGTGCAAATTTTTTTACATGGTACACTTTTCAGTATTTAAGTGTACATCATTCGCTTTTTCCTCTCTGTAAATATCTCTTGTAACTGTCAATGTTGTTCCCATCATTTCCCATTCCCTCTTTATATCAGTTTGAACAGTAATTGTCCTGTATATGATTGTTAATAGCTAAAGTAACATGAAGAATATGAAGCATACAGATCTCAAAGAATGTTTCTTGTTTTTTTTTTTTTTTGCAAGGAAAGCATTGATAGTATTCTTGCTTTCTGATGTAAACTGCGTATGTCCAATTTTTCATGACTGTGAATTTTTACTATAGGTGAAATTCTCCCATTGTCCTCTGTGTTAATATCTAATTGACCAATGAAAAGATGTTTTGTGAAGTCATATATTTAGCTTGCATTTATGTATTAGTTAACATTTGTATTTATGGTTATTTGTAAGGATTACTTTATATCGCTAATTTTAACAACGTAACGTTGATAGCTAGATGGCTAGATAATTAACAACATTGTTAATTGTGAATATCAAACAAGATTAGTTTGTATCTTGTTAACATTGAAATTTTGGTTTAAGGTTTATTTTTTAAAGTAGTTGAAAATATGTTTTTTTTTGCACTCCTGAAATAATGGATATTTGGAAATAGATGAGATGAGATAAGATGAGATGAGATAATCTTTATTGTCATTGTCACTTGACAACAAAATTGAGAAAATGCAGGTGACTCAATGTGAGGCATAAGAGTAATAAAAGAATATATTAAAAATATACAAATTGCACTTACTGTACAAATTGCACTTATGAAATATAAAATTTTTTAGGCGGTTTGTCCTGATTTTCATTGTTATGTATCTCTTGTATCTATTTTAATATATAAAGACAGACATATAAAACAAGAGGTCTCTCCGTCCATCCATCCATCCACCCATCCATCCATTTTATGATATCAACTATCCTATTCAGGGTCATGGGGGGCTCGGAGATTATCCTGGAGAATGTTACATTTTATGTTTAAAAAATTGCACCTAAATGCACATATCCAGTCAGAGTTTTAGGTTATTCTTTTTTGTCATTCATATTTATGGAATGGTAATGATACTCTTGTTAAATTATTGTTACTTATAAAAATGTCCATATTAAATACAGTTATGGACTGGTATCCCATCCAGGGTGTAACCTAGGCTTGTGTCCTTGTTACCTGGGATAGACTCCAAGCTACCCAGTATAAGGGGTTAGAATATGGATGGATGGATGGAATAAATAGTTACTTTTCACTACTTTAATATTGAGGGTTTTTTTTTGTTTTTCTCTTTTTATGGAATGTATTATTTTGTATTGTATATTTACATTTAAATGCCAGGTACAAAATGCTGTTGTTGTATTTGGTTCACAGAATAAACTCAACATTTATGTTGAATTAATTAAAGTCACCTTCAAGTTCCAAAAGAGAAAAACATCCTAAGTAGGGCTGACACTTATTTGAGATTACTCAGCCTCCACTGTGAAGCGCCAAATGTTTCCCCAATTGTCGATGTTTTTATTGAGTTCCCTATGTACACAAGTGAAGCTGTGGCCATAAAAATTGAGCCATTCTTCCAGATAAACAATCTTGTTTTATTAAATGTTGACTGACAGCAACCAATAGACAGTCTGCGTGGAATGCAGTCAGTAACCATGGTGAATCACGACTTCACTTTTACAGATCCTTGCTGCCCATTGTTATTTTTCAATCATCCCCACTTTGGGGTGTGAGGGTCTAATCGAGCTTGTCGTCATTCGACAAACTACCAATACATGTAAGGACGGGATCTGTTCTTACTTGCCTCCAAAAAGACATTTCAGTAGGAACAAAATGTCACAGTATACAGTAGAAGGTCCCAATATCACTGTGGAAGTGAACACATAATAAGCTATTACTCTGATTAAGAAGTGCACATGTGTCGTCTTGGTAACTGTGTGATGAAAAGCCTGGGTCCTTGTGCTGTTTGCCTTCTGTAAGCAATCATTTCTGTATTGTTTGTGTGCCTCTTTGAAATAGAAACAAAGGTAATAACAACCCACCCAGAGGTCTCCGAAAACCATTATTGTACCTACAGTTAGCAGGGACTCTTTAGGACTGATTCAATTTCAATGAAAGCTAAATATTCAAATGTAGCAAATGTAAAATTGCACTGTGGGTTATAATTTAAGTGTCCTAATGGTTCCCTTATTATGATTCTATGTGTCGGCTGTGGACTTGATCTTTAGTCCACCTGTGCCAGTTGCCAGTCTGTTTTTGTATTCTTTTTTGTATTCCCTAAATGTATTTGAGGTCATGGGTTTGAGTCCTGGAGTCTTTTGCTCTGTTATTTTATTAATCATATGATTACATGTTCTTTGAATGATGGCTGTTTTGATCTCAGTGGATGGGTATGCTGTTTCACTGACGACGTGTTTGATTGTGAACTGTGTGGCTGCAGTGCTCAAACGGGCCACCATCAAGAGAGGTCGTCTAGATGCTGTCAGACATGGGCCGGGGGAGGACCAATATGTTGACATCTCCTCTGTGGGTGAGTCAGCGCACCACAAATATAACAAACTGATAAATATTAATGTAACATATAATAATATAATACATAAATAATACGGTATATTGGTCATAGCAAATCTGAACATCCATCCTGATGCTGATAGGATGTGTGTCTTTTCTGGGCTATCACTTATTCCAGTCTAAAATCATAGTAAGCTTGATTTGTTTTCATGGAAATTTTGGATTTGAGGCAATAGTCTTTTAGTAATGTGTTGTGTGAGGCACTATAAACATTCTTAAAATGTAGGGTTAGATGTATGTATAAGAACTGAATACTTGACCATTGGCCTGATGAGGGTTTCCTCTGCTTACAGGTGGACCTTTGGCCAGGGCTAGCATCAGGAGTGTGGGACGGGGTCCCACCGCCTATGTCCGGCGGAAGGAACGCATGCTACGCATCTCCGTCCGCCGCATGGTCAAGACGCACACCTTCTACTGGACCGTGCTGGGCCTGGTTGCCCTCAACACTCTCTGCGTAGCCATCGTGCATCACAACCAACCCCAGTGGCTCTCCACCCTCCTCTGTAAGTCGTACGCCGTATCTGTTCGCGTCTGTCTCGAAAAGCCAGCCTTCAAATGTCTCAGCCCATATGTGTCGCGCGTCATGGCTGAAGCTGTCAACCGAAACATCCAAGATGGCAGACTTCCCACGTCCTCTGCTCAGCTTGCCTTAGTTACCAGCTGACAGGAGCTAAGGTCTGTGTGGCCAGTTTTTGCACACTTGCTTGACAAAATAAAGACTGAGGGATGCATGTTGTCAGACATGACTAATGGACAAACCCTCCAGGCCACGAGAATCACCACTGATGTTTTGTTTTGCAGACTATGCAGAGTTCCTCTTCTTGGGTCTGTTCCTAATGGAGATGTTCTTAAAGATGTATGGTCTTGGACCCAGGCTCTACTTCCACTCATCCTTCAACTGTTTTGACTGTGGAGTGAGTTCCTTTATTTTTCTTTCATTTTTTTTCTTTCAGAATGGCAAAGCTAGGGCAAGGAAAGTGAGAGATTATCATCTTAATATAGTGATCTAGTCTCACTATAAAATACTGGGGTGCTCCGATCAGAGTTTTTGGATCTGATTGCTGATCACTGGAATCAGATTGGCTGATACCAATTATGGCGGGGGGGGGGGGGGGGGGGTCTTCCATCTAAAGTGTAACTTCACCCCAAGTTCTTGCGTTCCACCATGAGGGATTTCTATAGCGATTTTATAGGCTTTTTAGAACACCTTGTAGAACTGCTAGACTGGTAGAGCCATTTTACTGAGCTTCTTTTGTGACGCACGGAGGTGTGTCTCACGTATTT